GGAGGAAAACTGCACCTTGTGCAGGAGCCCTGCTCCAGCAGAACCACATCTGTCACTGCAGGAGGATGCAGCCACCATGGAATGGGACTGCACCAACCCTGACTGACTGACGGGGGCACCTTGGATTCTCACTCTGGCCGTGTTTGGGTTTGTTCTCTGTAATACTGGATTTCTGTTTTAATTTTCCTAGTAAAGAACTGTTATTCCTATTCCCATATCTTTGCCTGAGAGCCCCTTAATTTCAAAATTATAATAATTTGGAGGGAGGGGGTTTACATTCTCCATTTCAAAGAGAGGCTCCTGCCTTCCTTAGCAGACACCTGGCTTTCAAACCAAGACACTGTGATCACCTCATGGATTGTGCTCACTGAAAGGAATTAATTCCTACAAACTCCAGGGCTGCTGGAGGAAAATCCCAATCTCTGCCTGGTTATGAGGCCACTAAAGGGCTGCACCCTGTGCCCAGGAAAGTACAGCCCAAAAGGAGACAGAGAGTGGGAACTGAATCCCTCAGTTATGCTGAAAATTACCTGCCAGAACTTCCTACAGTAAATCCACAAATCCCTCAATTTGAAGTCTGGTGTTTCCCAAGACCTGAAGTAGTTTTTGCTCATAGTTTCTCCTCTGTGTGCAAAATTAATTTTTTTTTCAGAGCATCCTCTTGGAGGAAAACAAGCAGAGAGCAGGGTGTGAGTCTGACACATCATGAAATCCAGTGCCCAGTGCAGGAGTCTTAAAAATGTGATGCTCTGCACAGAAAATGAAATGGATTCCCTGGTTTAGGGCACAGCAAGGGAAGAAATATTGTCCCAGTGTCCACATTCACAATGATGAGAACTCACTAAGCCAGCACTGCCCCACAGAGAGCACAGCACAGCCACCTCCATCAATTCCTGCAGCCCCTCCTGGGATGCTTCAGCAAAACCATCCTTTGTTTGGGCCTGTGTTCTTCTAAAAGTGGGATTTCATGATCCTGGAGGGCTTTTCCAACCTAAACAACTCTGATTCTAACACAGGCCAACCCACAAACCCCACCAGCCCTCCATGCACTGCACCACTCCCAGTGACCAGGACAATTTGCCCCTTTTCCCTCCATTTCCTGATAACAAGAGCCCTTCTGTACCATTTTCTTGACAACAGGAGCCCTTCTGCTTAGTTTCTTGCTAACCAGAGCCCTTTTTGCTCAGTTTTTTGATAACAACAGCCCTTTTCCCTCCATTTCTTAATAACAGCAGCCCTTTTCCCTCCGTTTCTTAACACGAGGAGCCATTTTTCTTGAGTTTTGTGATAATAAGAGCCCTTTTTCTCGACTTTTTGATAACAGGAGCCCTTTTCCCTCAGTTTCTTGACACTAGGAGCCCTTTTTCTCAAGTTTTTTGATAACAGGAGCCCTTTTCCCTCAGTTTCCTGATAACAGGAGCGCCTTTTCCTCAGTTTCTTGACACCAGGAGCCCTGTTTCCTGAGTTTTTTGATAATAAGAGCCCTGTTTCCTGAGTTTTTTGATAACAGGAGCCCCTTTTCCTCAGTCTCTTGCTAACCGGGACCCCTTTTTCTGCAGTTTCTTGGCACCAGGCTGCTGAGCATTCAGCAGTGATCAGCCACCATGAAAACCAGTCCAAGGAAAAGCAGAGTTTTCCAAAAGCAGCTCTACAATTGCACCCTGAGCTGTGCAGGACGTGGCTGTGGCAGTGCAGGGAGCACTCCCAGAATAAATCCCTGTCCTTAACTCCCTGAGTGACTGAGCCTGGCCCAGGGAAGAGCAGGCTCAGCATTGCTGGGCGGAAAGGGCCAGACTCCATCAGCAGGAGGTGCTGGAGATCAGGAAAAAAACCTGCTGGGATCTTGGATGGCAGGAGGCAAAAGCCAGCCAGGACCTGAGGAGCTGAGTGTTTATTCTATAGGACACCTGTCCCCACATTTTCACGACCTTAAAATTCCCATGACATCAGCTCCAGGCATGCAGTTGGAGCACGAGCAACAGGAGAAAAATCAAACCAAGACCGAGCACATGCAGAGCCTTCTAATTTAGTCTTCTGCACCCAGGCCAATGATTTCATCCTCTGCTCCCTTCCCTCCATCCTCACGGCTTAATTGCTCACTTATGGAGCTGTGCAGTGTGGCAATGACACAGGGAGGAGATAATCCTGAATATCCACCTTGGGTGATGCTGCCAGCAGCACATCAGCCTGCACTGAGCCATTGGTGCTGTCAGCAGGCAGAGCCCTGCCTTGGGACAAGCTGAGAGGAAGGGTCCTTCATGCCCTTCTTGTTCTGGTTTTAAATTCCAAGAGAAAACAGGAGGGAATGGGTGCCAGTAAATGTTCCAATGGGTTGAAGTCTTCATTTGAGAACTTTTTTCTTCACAGGCTTGTTGTTAAAACCAGTCCATTCCAACTCTGGCAGCACACATAAACCCCCTCTCCCCTGAAACCTCCTGGGTTTGACCATTTAAGTCATGAATTCTGACAGGATTTGCACTGTCACTCCCCAGTTAACCTGCACAGGACATCCTAGAGCCACCATCTCCTGTGGCTGCAGAGCTGCTCCATGGATTCCATCACATCCCACCCAAATCCCACAGACCACCCAGCAGGGCTGAGCTGTCCCTGCTCCCCCTGCCCATGAATCCACCACTCTTGGAAAACAAAACAGCCCAGGTGTTGTCTAGAGAGGTAAAAAAAATAGCTGCAAGCTAAACAAAGCTGGAAAAAAAATCATGGAAGTGTTTGGTTTTCTCAGGCACTTTGTGCCAGGCCTCACCACCCTCACAGCCAGGAATTCCTGCCCAATATCCCATCCAGCCCTGCCCTCTGGCAGTGGGAGCCATTCCCTGTGTCCTGTCCCTCCATCCCTTGTCCCCAGTCCCTCTCCAGCTCTCCTGGAGCCCCTTCAGGCCCTGCCAGGGGCTCTGAGCTCTCCCTGGATCCTTCTCCTCTCCAGGTGAGCACCCCCAGCTCTCCCAGCCTGGCTCCAGCCCTGGGAGCAGCTCCGTGGGCTCCTCTGGATCTCTCCAGCAGCCACTGAGGGGCTGAGGAGCAGCTCTGGGGCTGAGCCCCCCTGGGACCCCTGTGGGTCACTGAGTCAGGGGCTGAGAAAGCCCAGCTGGGCATCCAGAACCTTCCCTGCCCCAGCCAGAGCTGGATCCTGCCTGGCATCCTCCTGGCATTCCATGCTCCCCCCAGGGCTGTGCAGCCCCAGCCAGGCTGTGCCAGCAGTGGAACCAGGGCACAGGGGGCCCTGAGGCTTCTAGGAAATGTTGTGGTGTCAGCATCCACGCCAGGAACCCTCAGGATCTGAGGAAGGACCCGGGGCAGCAGCTGGAGCACAACAAAGCAGCTCAGGAAGGGAAATTGTGCCAGGGTGGGGATGGTGCCTTTTCCCTCTGCTCATTTACAGGATTCCTGTGCCCTAAAGTGCCTGGAAAAAACATCTCAGTGAGGTGGAGACCCTAATTAACATCATCTGGGGCATTTGCCAAAGTGCCACCTTTGTTTTACTTTTTGCCTCTGAAAGCTCATAAAAGCCACTGCAAGTTAGGTCAGGACGAGTGGGAAATCATCCTTAAAAGTAAGAGAAATGGAGAGATCAAAGGAGCCAGCTGACAGGCACATCCCAAAATCCTGCTGGAGCATCCCTGGCTGCACAGCTAACAACTGAGAACAAAGCAGAGGTGATGGGGGACCCAGTGCCAGAAGAGGAAATCGCTTGAGAAAAGCAAAAACAAAAAGAAAAAATCAGATTTGAGGTGATAAGTGGCTCGATCTGCAGCCATTCCTGTGTCTCAGTGGGGTGTACAGAACACAAACATTGGATGTGTTTGGGATGCTGCATTTGGGATTGCATTTCCAAGGGTTTAAGTGCAACAAAATCAATTCCTCCATGGAAGTTGTCTTTTTTTGTGATGGCCAAACACCAAAACTTTCTTGTTCTTGTGCTGCTGAGGAAATCCTGGGCACCCACCCTGCCATCCCTGGGGGCTCAGGACCGTGGCATTCATTCCCCAATTTGCCCAACACTTGGTTAAATGCTGCTTTTCTCTCTCTCTCCTCCACTAACCAGCCCTGACTGACAGCTCTTCCCAGAGACAGCCCAGCTGTGGGATAAATATGTGATAACTTTGATTCCAGCAACGCCTGGAATAAATTATGAAAGCAGCTTGTTCCTCTGGGTATAAAAGAAAGCAAAGAATGAAGGGAAAGTTCCTTCCCTGAACGTTCTGATAACATAAATAATTAGCAATCCCTTCCTGTAAAGGGCTGGGAGCTCAGGATTGATTTGTTCTGGTTCAGCAAGACCCTGGCTTCCAGAAATGGGGATGAGCATCCTCAGTGAAGCCCTGAGCAAAGAAAATGTCGTGGAATTCCTTCAGGTTTAGCCCCAGCACTCCAAATCCTGAGAACTGGAGTGGGGAAAAGCAAATCCTGTTCCTCAGGATCGTCCCCACCTTGTCTGAGAGCCACTAATGCCTCCCATGGGATCTCACCACTGGATAGCTCTGGTGAGGAGGAATCACAGGAATAATTTGTGGG